TCCTGATGCTAAATAGTGTGTTTTTAATGGTTAGTTGGACTGATGTTGGACTAACAAGTGCAAACATGGCATCATATGTGTTATCGATAAAGGAGCAGTCATCAATGAAAATATCCATTGGAAAAGGGCCTTTTTTTTGCGAAGATGATTTTGCAAGTAATCCATATTTAAGAGAATTGAATGTCACGTTGAATAGTTTAATGTGGTACTTGGGACTTATGAACAAAGCTATTTTCCTGTTTTTTTCGCCTTCCATGAAACTGTTCGAAATTGTAACCATCCCTGCGTTTCCGTTTACGGAGGCTATGTGTACAATCTTTCCTCTTCTTGCGTCCATAGAAATGTCCCTAAAAATGCAGTTTGAAATTGTAATGTTACTTTTACCTCCAGTGGTAACCAGCTTGAAAGCTCCATCGCCTCTTGATAACATTTCCTTCGTAAACGTGGATCCCTCTAATGTCACAATTCCACCATCTAGCAAAACGTCTATAGCTATACACCTTGGTGTTCTCTTTCCATTGTTTCCTTCCCACTGTTCAACGGTTACATTCCTGAGAGTAAAATATAACCTGTGGGGACCCCGATCACTTTTTGGATGGCCTTTAGCGGTTCTTCCAATGGATATCACGCATCCATACTCGACAGCTTTGCATTTACTGAATATTACATTGGTCAGATCAAATTTTAGAAATCCGTGTTTGCTATCGGCAAAAATCGATCCGCCGGCGCCAGCTTCATTGTTATGGAAGTTAGAGTTCACGATTCTTAAAGATGCATTAAAACTAACCGCTAGAGACAAGCAAGAACCTGAATATTTTGAATCTACAGATTGGTTGTAAAAAGTTGAGTTTTGAATAACTATATTTGCCCAGTCTGACTGAACTACAATGCATTGTTTTTTTGGGTTGTTATGGCATGTCAAGGAGATGAACTTTGCTTTTGTTTCTCTGGCATGTGAGAAATATAAACGTCGATTACGTTTTCCGTGACGTTCTCCATGGTGATGTAGGTCGACATCTACGAATGTTTCGTTTGTAATCGCATTTGAAACGTCAAGATGTAGGAAGGGGCCTTGATTGTAAGAACTTTTCACTCTACAGAAAAATATATGAATATATACTGGAGGAGAACCTTTTTTTGCGTAGGATCTGATGATTATGACGTCTCTGCCAGTACCGTGCCGGTATAGACCATTTTTTTCAAACTCTGTATCTTTGATTTTAAGTGTAACGTCTCGACTTTTCTCTCTTATGTTATTGAGTAAAAGGACGTTGATACATTGTGAATTATTTCGGAACGTTGAATTGCCTTTAATGTCAAGCTGAAAAGATGCAGTGTTCTGTATTTTGATGGCCAAGGCTCTGGAAGTATTATGAAAAGAACAGTTGTGGATTGTGATGCGCTGGCAGTCATTACAATTTAGCGGAGTTTGTTGAAAATCGATTCCTGACAGTACCAAAGCAAATGTCAGCTGCTCGCCATTTGTCTTCTGAAAATGAAATCCATCAGTACACAAAACGTGTGGGGTGGAGTAGAATCCCCTAACAGTCAAGCTCTTGTTCACGTAAATGCCTGGATGATCCATCAAAATATTGCGACCTTTTCTGCAACCATAAGGGCGTTTCTTGGTGCCACGTCCGTCCAGATAGATGTTTCCGCCATGGCCCACGCGATAAACCGCTTGAGCCATGGACCGGCAAGGGAGACTTTGGCTGCCACAAGTTTTAGTGTCAATTCCATGAAGAGAGACATACACATCCACATTGTCTGAACCTGAAATTTTTATAAATCAGAGCTTTATAAAGTACTACTAGTAAAATGGCATGAGAAATTCTAGAATAAAACGATAAATGAATGGATAGTATTAATATGAGAATGGCAGGAAGAATTTCAGAGTATAATGATGAGTAAATGCCTTTTCATTCAAAGTTTCTCAACCGTGCTGTCATTTACTTCATGTATGCCAAACTTTCCCAGTCTTCTGCCCATAAAGTATCTGTAATGGTTGTTGTTGTTTTATTTAGTAATTTTTTTCAAATGGCAGCTTAAAAGTACTTCCCTGCAGGACTAAATGATGAATAATATATCTTCGAAGGAAGAAAAACTCGCTCATCTAAACCGAAATAAACGAAGTTAAGTTAACAGTACATTGGAAGCATGGACGGACGAACTGACCAAATGCTAGGTACCCACGTCCGGTTACAGCCATTTTCTCCTTTCTTTAAATATGAAAGCTGCATTTGAGTGCTTAGGGCGCTGCATGGAGCTTCGTATGAGCATGTGAAATTAGTGAGTTAATGTCTTCCGTAGGAAACGATGCTTACTATAATAAGTGCATCATTACAAGTTAAACAAAGTCCGGTAAACATGCACATGGATCACAGTCCTTGATTTCCAAATGGTGCTGTTACAAATCGATAAAATACATATTTATGTTATTCGCCAGCCGGGAGCTCCGTATTGGGAAAAATTGTGTCCGAGGTCTTGTTTTTCCCAATACGGACCGACCTGGGCTAGTAAATAGCGTTTTTTTTTTTTTCCCTTAAACTAAAGGAAATTCTTTACAGAAGAACTCAAATGATTGAGGGCTGTAATTACAGCAATATCTTCTATAAACTGAACAGTTTCTGAACAAGTAAATGGTAGTTAAAATAGAGGTGATGCAAATAAAAGAGAGACGCTTCACAGAAACATTTTCATTTGCGTAATGATAAAGGAAGGTCTGGATGGGGGGTACAAATGTCAGTTGTCAGTTAACATTTCGGCCGTTTATCAGTGCCCAGTTAGATTTCAGGCTATTTGTCAATTGTCAGTTAAATTACTGTTAATAATTAACTTGGTGAGTTAATTATTACGTTCCGACCATATTTTTGGCTTAGAAGGCACTTACAGCGTAAACACGAAAATTAAGTCGAGAACTGATACAATAAGAACTTCTTTCTCTCGATTCTGCAATGAAATAATTCCAAGATCTTCCAAGTGACTTTCGGTCTTTGTTTGAAGGGTGTTTAAATAAGTTTCAACTCTTCTGAAAACAAACTTCTGTTTCCCGAGGTCAACATTGAAACATTCCTTCCAACCACTTAGCCCTTCAAAATGTTGGAAAGCTTTGTCGCTGCTGAGCCCCATTGGCTGATCTCCGGAGTTTAAATCGTTCCCTAGATTCTCCACAACTGCTGTGAGTAATGTGCGCAATTCAATGTCTTCGAGATAATCGTTGTTAATCGAAGCTATGCTGTTTTTTAAGTGGCGCATTCTTTCTTGAGAAAAAAGGTAAATACAGATCGTCACGGACTTCCCATGTGGCTTTTGTGGTCGCGTCGCATTATCGCCTTCAAATTATATATTTGCTATCACAAGCATGTCTTTGAGGGAGTGTCTTTTTTTGTAAGAGACGATGGGAGGTTTTGTAAAAATTGTTTTCAGCATGGGCTGATTGTGTATCAGACTCCAATGTTCCATCAATATTTGTTTTAAGTTTTTAACTGCCGGGTGGTACATTGCGATCAAGGCAATAAACGTTCGTGACCTTTTAGCTTTTGTATATGTGTAAGAGCCGATTGTCTAGAGGCAAAGTTGAACCTTGACTGAGACCTTTCTAGGATTTTTTCTGGGTACCCTCTTGCTTTGAGGTGTTGTTTTAATTTCAAAAGGCCCTCTTCAAATGTTGTTTCGAAGAGTTACTTCTAAGCAATCTTATTGCCTCGTCTTTAATGAAACCATGTTTTACGCTTGTTCATTAAGTTAACGGCGAAGAAAGTAATGGTAAGCAAATTCAAATTTTTTACTTTGAAGTTGTGAGAATTTGCTCGTTTGTTTGCTGCAATGGCGTGTGTAAATCTGGTCTTTCCTCCACAAAAATATAAATTCGAATGAGATACTTTCACGAGATACAATGAAATTTTAATGCGGCTTTTTCTCATTGACTTCCTTCAGTTTCTGTTGCGCAATATGTATAGGTAATCACATGATTTCGAGTGCAATTTGGAATATATAAGCACGAGTAAATTTTTTTACAGTAACAAAATTGCACGAGCCCGTAGGGCGAGTGCAATTTGTGGTCTTGGAAAAAATCAACAAGTGCTTGGTTATTACAAATTGCACGAGAAAAATCATGTGATTACGTGTTAATAACATACATGGAAAAATACGAAATGGCCCATCATATATAATTA